ATCTGATTCCTGTCCCTATAATTATACATTTTCCAGAATGTAATATCAATGAAATGATACCTTGTGTAGATTTTTGTTTCTGACTTCTTTCATTTAGCATAATTCTTTTGAGATTCATCATTGTCACTGCATGAATCTGTCATTTGTTTGATTTTATTAAGAAGTAGTATTCTGTTTTATGAATGAACCACGGTTTGTGCATTCATTCAACAACTGAACAACACTGGGTTATTCCCAGTTTTTAAGAGGCTGTATAAGTATTCAAACATAAGTCTTTGTGTGGGCATATGGATAAATACAAAGGACAAGGATTGCTGAGCAGTATGGTGAATATGAATATGTTTTATTTTGTAAGAATATTCCAAGCTCTTTTTCGAAATATTTTTACTATCACATATTCCCACCAACAATATATGATAGTTCCAATTGCTCTACATTCTCTCCAGCACTTGGTATTGTCAATTTTTATAAAAATAAGACAATATGTCCTTGAGGTTTATATTTGTATTTATCCGATGACTAATGATGTTGAGCATGTTTTCATTTGCATTTTGACCATCTATATATTTTCTTTGGTAAAGTATCTATTCAAATATTTTGCCTGTATTTATTGGGCTATTTGAAAATTATTGAAGTACACAAATTATTGATCTATTTCAGATCTAAGTCCTTTATGAGAAATGTATTTCCAAGTATTTCATCCCAGTATGTGGCTTATCATTTTGTTTTTTATTGTCATCTTTCAAAGAGTAGACTTTTAAAAGCCAACAAATATTTCTTCCAACAATTGTACTTTTTGTGACTTTTCTGGAAGAATTTACCTAATTTAAGGTCACAAAGATTTTTTTCTATGTTTACACTAACGGTTTTATAGTTTTCGGTCTCATATTTAGGTTTATGATCCATATTGAGTTAAATTTCATAGATGGCATGAAGTAAGGAAGTGAGGGCTGAGGGTTATTTTTTTCAATATGAATATTCAGTTCTTCTAGAATAATTTGTTGACAAGCCTATCCATTCCTCATTGAATATTTTGTCAACTTTATTGACAAGCAATTGACCACAAATATGTGAGTCTATTTCTGGACTTTATTCTATTTCATTGATTTATATGTCTGGTCCTCATCCCAATACCACAATATCTTGATTACTATACATTCATAGGAAGTTTTAAATCATGTACTATATGTGCCCTCCATTTTGTTTTTCTTTATAATTTCTGTTTTGACTCTTCTAGGTTATTTACTTTTCCATATAAATTTTAGAATCAGCTTCTTTATTTCTACCAAAATAAGCCTACTGAGATTTTGTTAGGGATTACATTAGATATACACATCATTTGGAGAAGAACTGACATCTTAAACATATTAAGTTTTAAGATATGTTAACATAATATATATCTCCATTTATATAGATCTTTAATTCTCTCACCCATTATTCCTAGTTTTCAGCATGTATATATTTCATATATTTCTTAGATATACCTTTTCTAAATTATAACATAAATTTACTCCATAAAACATGAAATTTTTCATGTTGTTGTTAAAGATACTTTATAAATTTATATTTATTCATTGTTTGTATATAGAAATACAGTAATTTTTGTGTATTGATCCTGTGTCTTGTGACCTTACTGTTCTATTATTTTTAGTTTCTTTTATGTATATGATTTGTTCTTTTCTATTTATGCAATTATATCATCTTCAAATAAAGATATTCTTATTTCTTTCTTCTCAATCTACATGTCTTTCATCTATTTTCCTTGCTTATTGCAGTGTCTAGACCTCATAGTATAATACTGAATAAGATTGACCAGAGTGTACATCCTTGCCTTGTTCCCACATTTTGGGGAAATCATTAAGTCTTTTACTATGATGGACACTTTAAGCTGTTAAGTAATATATCTTGGCAAATATATGAAACTATCATTCTCATCCACTGTTGGCCAGAGTACAAAATGGTGCAAACCATTGGAAAAGCATCGGGCAGTTTCTTAGAAAGCCAAACTTATAGCCCAGCAATCCTACTCCTAGATATTTACATAAGATAAATGAAAGAGGCATGTCTACAGAAAGACTTACATAAGAATATTCACATAAACTTTATTCATAATGCCTCTAACTAAATTGGAAACACTCCAAATGTCTGCCAATAAGTGAGTGCATAACAAACTATGGCATGGTCATACAATGGAAAACTCAAAACAGAAAGAGTGAACTTCTGATATAAGCAACAACATGGATTATTTCATGAACATAAAATTTGAGAACAAGCAATCTAATAGTTGTCTTTTGGTTCGGGGGTTAAGAACTGAATGGTAAGGGTTATTAGGAAATGTTCTAATACGTTTTTATAGGGGTTTGAGTTATGGAATTGTATGCATTTTTCAAAACTCAGAAAATATGCGTTTAATATTTGTGCATATCATTGCTTGTAAATTTTACCTTATAGGAAATAAAGTACAGTTGATGCTTGTGCAACACGCATTAGAACTGTGCAGATCCTCTTATACATAGATTTTTTCCTACCTCTGCCATCCCTGAGACAAGACCAACTTCTCTTTTTCCTCTTCCTTCTCTTCCTTATATGAAGAAGATGAGGATAAGAACCTTTATAATGATCCACTTCCACTTAAAGAATAGTAAATATATTTTCTCTTTCTTATGATTTTCTTAATAACATATTGGTGTTTTAAATTTAAATATGTAAATACATAAGATGAATTTATGATTGATTAGAGGGATAGGTATGTAATAGCACAAGCATAACTAAATGTTAATGCTAAAATCTGCGTGGATGATATACAGGTGTTCATGGTACAATTTTTTCAACTCTTTGGTGTGTTGGAAAATTTACATAATGAAACATTTTACAAGCCAAGAAAAACCGATATTTAAAACAACATAGAAAATATCTTGCCAGAATTTAAATTGTGGTACATCTGCACCTGGAATCATGTGTTATATTCTGATTATTCCATATTCATTAGGATATTTGGAACTAGAAAGGGTCAATGAGAGCGATGCTAAAATGGTGTGAATTGAGGTGGATTGCCATATGAATAAATAGCAAACCAAGATTATCTAACTTGGAGCAGCAAAAGAAAAGCTATGTAGTTTACAGCTATAAAATAATGAATATATTGATAAAGTTAATACAGATTTGATGTGACAATGTACTTTAACGAATACATTTAGAAAACTATAATTAATCCACAGATAATAGGTAAATACATGTATTACACCAAGAAGTAACACTGTAAGAAATAGTGTACTCAAATACAGTTCAGATAAGTCTACGAATGACACAGCTAGATGAGGCTACTTTAAAAAGATGGGATACATATATATACACACACACGCACACACACACTTGAAATTTGACATCAGGTATGACAACCAGAATGCAAACAGTGTTGATTTGTTTGGTTGTTTTTTTTTTAAATCTACAGTTTTCACTGACATCTCTTCAGTGCCTTCAAAAATAATGAGCACATAGTAAATGCTAATTTTGTTGAATGAATGAAAATATTCTTAGTAATAGAATATTTAGAAGTATAAACCAGAGTTATGACCTAGTATAGCAAATTCTATTTCAGTATGTATTTTTTTCTTTTGGGTCATCATCAGGTAAATCCCTGGACATAGATGGTGGGAAATCATAGGTAACCACTGTGGTATCATTTGAAGAGTGCCAGAAAAAACACATATTTTTTAAAAAAGTCTCAGCTGCAGAACTCATATCAAAATTTCTATCACAACAAATCTTTTTGTTTAATATTCTGAAGGCTGTTTTAAAAATATACTTTTTGAAAAAAGTAGTTTTACATGTAGTATCTCATTTAACGACTGTACAAGCTAGATACTATTTTATAGATAATGTGTATGGTAGCACTTCAGATTATTTACCAGATTGTCTTAGGGAAAGCAAAATCCTTCCAAAATAGAACTGAGAAAATCAAGGAGAGGGAGGTAGATAGAAGAAAAATAGCCAGGATATTTGGAAATACAGTGAAATAAATGCTCATTTGATATAATTTAGTGAAAATTCCTGAATAGTTGGCTTACAGAATGGGAGTATTTAAGTAAAGATAGATGGAATATATTTATTAGTACTTTTATAATTAGATTGTTGCTTTGCTAGCACTTCTCCTTCAACATAATGGCAGGTTGGATAATTTCATAAGTGTTTTCATCAATTTTTTCTAGCAGCTATGCATTTATATAGCTAAAATTCACAATATTTATAGATAAGTTAGATGAGGCACTTTATTTGCAATAATTGATATGCTATATGTATAAATAACATACTGTAGTATACTATATATATAAACAAAATTTCCTGGTAAACCTAAAGATAGCTGGAAAAAGAACAAATTGTCTTAAGGCAGTGCAGAAAATAATTTCTTATGGTCACTAAAACTATCAGAAATTTAAAAAATTACAGAAAAAACAAAACACCTGAATGTGCTTAGCAACAACAAAAACCCCAGTACTTAAGAAGATTATTGTGTCAGAACAGTGCTCCCCACTTAAAAAAAATCCTTATGAAAATCATAAGAATCTTCAACCTTCCTGTTTGTCATTTATAATTTTAAAACGAGTTAAATGTCAAGTTAAAAAACGAAAAAATGTAGACTTCCACTTACGCAAAGAGGGAGTAGACATACTTTTCCCTATTCTTCCTGCTAAGAAAAGTAAAAACTAAAAATTCTATATAAAACAAACAAGAGGACTCTGAAAGGTGACAAGAAGACAGTTCAGCTAAGCAATTCAGAACCCAAGGAATGACATAATGGTAAGTTCACTGGATTTTCTTATTTCTTCATATATCTCAAGCTACCATCAGAATAAGCTTGCAAACAAGAAATATCAAAGGACACTGACAAAATGAGTCGCATCAAAAGTTAATTCTCTCCAGCTAAAGGATCAGCAAAGGGACAATAAACAATACTAAACTTTTAGGGGAAAAAAACCTTATTTATTTTATCCAAATTCCCCAGGAAAAACTGTTGTCCTACTCATACCCAAACCAGCAGAGGCTGAGTTGGGGGGGCCTAAACTTCTACCCTCACAAGGCTGTAATGAGGCACCAGAACACCTCTGCTGGGGTAATTGATGTCAGAGAAAGTCAAATAGCAAGCTAGGACTTTCCTTGCTTTTGGAAACCAATAAGCTTCTCTCCATGGTGTCAGTGGCCACTATGTGAGAAACCTGGCTTCTAAACCCACAAAAGGTAACTAGGTATCATAGCCTCTTTCCATTGTAATGCTTTCAGTAAAAGTTTAGGACATTTACTATGGGTGCAAGCTGTAATGAGATCACCTCTGCTGTTCAGTGGAGGTCATACAAGGCTAGAACTCTCACCTCTGCTAAGCTGAATGAGGAACCTCAAATGTCAATGAAAGCCAAGGAAGGAACTTGGACTTCTACCTCCAATTGGCAGTAATGAGGTGGTGGCCTTAATGTCCCCTGATGGAGCAATATCAGAATAAGCCAATTAAAACTAAAGGCCTAAAAAGGATATGTGTCAAAATGAGATACATTAAAATAACCAAATTACAACAAAAAAATATAAAGAAACTGAAAGATAACAATATTAATGAAAAAGTCAATCAAGTGATGCAAACATCATGATAACAGATATGTTAGAAATATCTGACAAAGATTTCAAGCAACAGTCATCAAAATGCTTCAGTGAGTAATTATAAATGTTCCTGAAACCAATGGAAAAACTAAAAAGCCTTAGCAAAGAAATAGAAAGTCTCAGTAAAGAAGGAGAAGAAATAAAGAAGCAAATAGAGAATTTAGAATTAAAAATACAGTAACTGAAATTAAAACCACAGTGAATGGATTCAATGGCAGAATAAAAGGAATGGGAGAATCAGTGAAACGGGACACAGAACAATAGAAATTACTCAATCTGAACAAGAAAGAGAAAACAAATTACACATAAAAAAACAGAACATCAGGTACCTGAGGAATTGTAACAAAGGGTTTAACATTCACATAATTTGAGTTTTGAAAGGAGATGAGAAAGAGAGGGCTAAAAAAGGACTTGAAGAAATAGTGCTTGAAAATTTCTCAAATTTGACAAGTGACAGAAACCTGCATATTTGAAAAGGCAAGTGAATTTCAAAGAGAATACATCTCAGGAAATCCAGCCCAAGACAGGTTGTAATTGAACTGAAATGAGTAAAAACAACTTATAATGGAAATGCAATTTGAAAAACATGGCGAAACTGTAGAGACCACAAAGAATTGCTAAAACATTTTTTCAGATGCCAGAAGAAAAGCACTGTCAATATCTAATCTTACACCCACCAAAATATTCTTCAGGATGAAAATATCTTCACGTGTTTGTGCATGTGGGTTTGGGTGGGTGTGGGTGGGTGTGGATGTGTGTAATTTAATACCTGGGGTATCCACTAAAAAGTTATACAAAAAGACACTGAAAAACACTATAGATAAATAAAATGGAATGCAAAAAAATATTCAAGTCACTCACAAGGAAGGCAAGACCAAATAAAACAATGTAAGAACATAGAGAATGAATATGACACAAAAAATACAATGGCAGCTTATAATCAGGTCATGTTAATCTGTTTGCCAATCTCTGCCTTTTAATTGGTGTGTTTAGGTCACTTAATGCAGTTCACACATGAGAAAAGTGGAAAGGTCTCAAATTGATATTCTTAGCTGTTACCTCAAGAACCCCAAAACAGAAGAGCAAACTAAATCCACAAAAAGCTGAAGGAAAGAAATAATAAAATTAAGAGCAGAAATCAATAAAACAAAACAAAAAACACTACAGTAAATCAATGAAACAAAAGCTGTTTTGTTAAAAAAAAAAAACCAAAACCATTAAGATTGATGTACTTTATTATTAAGTTTTTTTTTTTTTTTTTTTTTTTTTTTTTTTTTTTTTTTTTTTTTTTTACAAAACTAAACTAGGATCCAGCAATCACACTCCTTGGTATTTATCCAAAAGAGTTAAAAACTTATATTCACACAAAACACATATACACACATGTTTATAGCAGCCTTATTCATAATAACCAAAACTTGTAAGCAACTAAGATGCTCTTTGGTAAGTGAATGGATAAACTTTGGAATATCCAGACAATGGAAAATTAGTCACTGCTAAAAGGAAATGCGCTATGGAGACATGAGGTGACATAGAGAAAACTTAAATACATATTAGTAAGTGAAAGAAGCCAATCTGAAAAGGCTACATACTGTATGATTCCAACTATATAACATTCTGGAAAAAGCAAAACTATGGAGACAGTAAAAAATATCAGAGTTTGCTAAGGATTAGGGAGGTGGGAAGAATGAATCAGCCAATCGCAGAGTATTCTTCATAGTAGTAAAACTGCTCTGTATGATACTACAATGGTGGATACATGTCATGATACATTTGTGCAAACGAATCAGACTTACAACACCAAGGGTGAGCTCTAATGTAAACTACTGATGTTGTGTGATAATGTGGCAATGTGGGTTCATGGACTGTAACAAACTTACCACTCTGCTGTGGGATGTTAATAGTGGGGAGGCTATGCATGTGGGAACAGAGAGCATAAGGGAAATCTCTGTACTCTCTACTCAATATTGTTGTGAATCTACAACTTCTGTAAAAATAAAGTATATTAAAAAACAAATTATCACAACAATCTGACCCTTTTTCTTTGAGATCAGGAATATTTGCAGTGAATAATTTTCTCCTTTTAAGAATGTTTACTTAATGCAGAGTTCTGATCTAAAATCTTACCTTAATATGATTATTTCTAACTTTATCTTATTTTGCTGCTAGAGGTATATAAGCACAGAGCTACAACATGACTAATAATTAATGAACAAAATCCTTCACTCATGCAAATTATTTCTCTGGTAACTGAAAATTGGCCTTAGCCCTCTCCTCCTAGTCTTCTTTCAGCCATTGTTTACAATTTCTCTGCTGCCTACGACATTGCTAGGCATTAGTTCTCTTGCCCTAACTAAATAATGCCTCAATTGCTGAAAATACAGCGTTACAGGATACTGTTTTACATTTGGACTTAATGAGGCCTTCATTTGCCTAATACTTACATACTTGGTCCCAGACTCACAGTAGTTATAACATTAGTTATAACTTGTACCATGACCAATTCTTTTATTCCTTCCCTTTTTTCTATAATTTTTGTTATTAGCTATAAAGACCACTAAATAACTATCTTTATATTTTAAATCGACTTTTAGAATGCACAGAGGGAATATTGTATTCTCTGTGTGATTGTCACCTTAAAAATGATGAATGCTCTTTCTTTAATTCTGTATAGATTTTAGATTTTTTAATTAGGAGATATCAGTATCTCTTACTGCATATGCCTATGCTCCCTGTTTTTATTGGCTATATAATTTGGATCCAAGTAAAAGTGACCTGTTTACCCTGCTGGTTAGAAAATCTGTGCAATGACAGAAAAGTTATTATATTTCTTCTATTATTTGCAATTATTTGAGAATAGCACCTATCATTTTCTTTTTGCAGGAAGGTTTCTACTACCTTCTATGTAATGTTAATATTTTAGGCAACTGCATCAAAGCAGACATTTTGAGAACATTAAAAAATAAAAACAATTATTTATATTCTCAAGAAAATCTAAGTTAAATTTAAAGACTTCAAAAGATTCTCTGGAATTAAAAAATACTAGATAACATGAGGCAAAATTAAATTCTTAAGCAAGCACATATTAATTAAGGAACATGTTTTTAAAGAAGATATTAAATGCAGTGCAGGAAAACAGAGGCCATTCTGTAAAACTGAAATAAAAATAGGAATAATTTATTTTCTAAACAGACATACAAATTAAGTCCTTATCACATAACGCAGGGGGAAAAGGCACCATGATTTAAAAGAGAAAACATTTTTTTAAAAAGTACGATAATATTCTGATTTTATCTAGTTTTACAGCAATTTTATGGTAAACAATTGTCAGCTGTTTAATTGAAACAGAATGATAAAGGAACTCAAATAATTCATTTGTTCATTTTATCATAACATATAACTTTAGTAAAAGTATAACAGAATAAAACCCATCTGTCAGATGAATGTAGACAATAGTGATGTACAATTATACTCATATTTGTGAAAGAAACCAATAAAAGTTGCTACAAAAGTAAAACTTGGAACAGTGCTTGGAGCAGTCAAAATGCTATGAACAAATTTCAGAAAACATGGTTATAGGTAAAATTTAAGGGGAAAACAACTTTTTATCAAAGGACACTATTAAGAAGTGAAAAGATGACCTACTGAATGTAAGAAAATATTTGCCAATCAAATCTAGTATACAGAATATATAAGAAACTAACTACTCAACAATAAAAAGACAGATGACAATCCAATTAAAAAACAACACCAAAAGCATTGGCAACAAAAGCCAAAATAGACAAATGGGACCTAATTAAACTCCAGAGCTTCAGTTCAGCAAAAGAAACAATCATTAGAGTGAACTGGCAACCAACGGAATGGGAAAAAATTTTTTGCAATCTACCCATCTGACAAAGGGCTAATATCCAGAATCTACAAAGAACTAAAACAGGTTTATAAGAAAAAAACAAACAAACCCATCCAAAAGTGGGAGAAGTGTATGAACAGACACTTTTCAAAAGAAGACATATATGAGGCCAACAAACATATGAAAAAATGCTCATCATCACTGATTATTAGAGAAATGCAAATCAAAACCACATTGATTCTAACCTCACGCCAGCTAGAATGGTGATCATTAAAAAATTTGGAGACAACAGATGCTGGAGAGGATATGGAGAAATAGGAACACTTTTACACTGTTGGTGGGAGTGTAAACTAGTTTAACCATTGTGGAAGACAGTGTGGCACTTCCTCAAGGACCTAGAAATAGAAATTCCATTTGACCCAGCAATCCCATTACTGGGTATATACCCAAAGGATTATAAATCATTCTATTATAAGGACACATGCACACGTATGTTCATAGCAGCACTGTTTACAAT